GACTGCTGTTAAATTTCGACATATATACGCATTGAGAAAAATGACGTTATTTTAAGGTTTTCACTTAGTTTTTCATCGTGTGAAGTTCGTGATTTTAGACAGAAATCCTTGGCACTAAGTCGCTACTATCGCAAGATGTTGAAGTGACGAAAAGGTTGGCCAGACACCGTTCTAATCACGTGTTGCGTTTGTTGAATATCGGTCGTAAAAGCAATCGCTATAAGTGGATGGCTGTGGAGCTAACCGGTGAAAGTGTGAAGCAGTTGCAGCTGAAGAGCCCAACCGGGCACTTCTCCAACGGAACGGCTTTGTATTTAGCTCACGCGTCTTTGGAAGCAATCGAGCATCTGCACAAAATAGGGTAACGCTCGCCATGTAGAATGACACTTCACGATTATGTTAAACGGTAAATTTAGTTACGTGCACAGAAATATCAACCCTGATCATTTTCTGATCGGCAGAGGCCGCTTTATACGACGACTGTACATCATAAGTTTCTGCAACTCGCGGAGGTACAAGGGCAACGATGGCGTATTATACAGAGAACGACAGCGAGTCAAGTTCGTATCTACTCCTCGTTACGCTTCACCGAGTGCACTTCGACTGAAGGACCAAGGCCGTAAAGACGACCTCATATCATGGTTTTTTATGGTAGTTGAACTGTTCCGCGGAAGCCTACCATGGTCAACGCATGACATTGAACTTATGGATGAAGTATAGACTTATTGAAGTTCTGTATAACGCTCGACCATTTAATATTGAGTTATAAGTTTTGTTAAAGGGCATAGGTGCAATAAGCATAGGAACAATTAGTGAGATTTATATCATCATCACGCGCGCGTAGTCGACAGGGGACCGTTGCGCCAGTTTGACGAATGTCCTTAGGCCACTGCGTTGATAGACTAAGGGCTGACACCCTGGTTTTATAGTTACAGTTAACATTTCTTCTGGTTGGTTGTTCTTTAGTATTCTGACTGCTTGGAATATGGGAGACGTAGAGCACTATATAGCATCCACGTTTAATGAATCTGAACAGGACAGATACCTGCATGCGAATAAGAGGTCACCGTTGACTGACGTTTTCTTCCTACCTGTCATCTATGTTGTTTCCGGATTCTGGAATATACTCGAAAGTGCTCTCACAGGGTAGGATATAGATGCATTTAATCGTAAAATGTAAATTTATTCCTTTAATTGCAAAGTTTTCCTTAGGAAGCGTTTGAGTATAAACAACTTTTGGAAGAAGTCGCAGACGAGAAAGAGAAAATTATATTCAATCGTCCGGAAATACTGATCGGAGACGCGCCGCAGGAACTACACGACCTCCTTCGCTATCTGATGGCACTTGATTTCGACGAGAGGCCGGATTACACGGGAATCAGAAATTTTCTGTTCGAAATCTGCAGCACAACGGTGGAAGATAAAACACAGTTGCTTGATTTCGAGCCGTCAGGAATGACCGCAATAGAAGTAGACCGGCCGGATATGGACGAAAGCTTTGTTAGTGATTTGCAATCGTTTCCGGAACAGGATTTGATCACCGCGGATAAGTTTAAATCGACTCAGTACATAACACCGGAATTTGACATCAGAGACAAACACGGAACTGGTTTGAAGGCAAAGAAAAACAATCATGCTTCAAGATATGAAAGTAAGAAGCGAGGTAACGCAAAGAAATTGCGTAAAAGCCGCTGAATAAGCATGACCAGTAAAGCCACAAGGACAGAACGAATACAGTAAATACAGCGATTAGCGAGAATCCAAACAAAGACATGTACTAAGTCGGTGCGCAAAGGCACAGTTGGAAACGGTGATGCCCTATTATTGCTTTAGTAAGAGACACGTTTAATGCATAATTTTATTTCAATTAAAACCATCGTTATTCTTGGGCCTACAAATATGCTACATTCTTCCGCCCAGATGTTATCGACCCTTTTCGATCCACTGCCGAACCAAAACTTCTTCAAGACTTTTCCACAAACTTCCTGCTTCGTGAGGTTGTTATCCATGTTGATCAAGCGATCTTCCAAAAGGCCGTTTCCCCTCTCTGATCCGGTGGTAATGGGGCGCTCTTGCCACGTCAGCTTCTTCAATCGGGCAGTGACCTGACCGAGTGCTGTTTCTGCTCTTATCCATTCGTTCGTTTTCCTACTCAGTCTCGTTATTCCAAACATACAGCTTTCTGTGCTGCCCCAGCGCGGTTTATAAATGGCTTTCAGGCTTAAAGTGCGCATTATGCGGCTACATATACACAGAAAATCAACGATTTTGATCGAAGCTGGCTGTCTTCTAATCCACGCCATAATTTTAGCCACCTGTTCTCTGACGATTTACTTGGCACCACCGAATTGCACCGTGGTGCAACAATAGCAGGCGGCTGTCGAATAGTCATCATTACTGCTCATTTGAATGACACGTTCTGCCGCCAGTGTTCTAAAACACAAACAACCCATTCTCAGTGGAGAATTTTTTGTAACTCTTGTCACGAGGGTTCGATGATAAACAGACGTTTAGTCGGTGTTGGGAGATTTGTTTTGGCATTCATTAAATATTCCACATGACTAATAAGTTTTGGTCATTTACATGCATCCCAATGACCTTGAAGCGTGTACTTTGAGTGACTTAAAATTTGGTCTTTCATTCATGCACTGGCTACGCAGCGGCAACCTTGAATCGGCAGTCATTATCCGCTGATGATCAACCGTCGATACACAGAAACAGCCACCAGTCAAGTTGCATAAGTGGACTGATCGCGGGCAAGCGTGAACGTTACGTGGCAAGGAAGCAGTTTCGAAGAAAACAGCCTCAGCCCCAGCCAACTCATGAAATAATGTAAACATTTTTTTGTCGTTCTTCATCTTTGGAAACTTGTTGAAAAGTCAGTAGCTTCTATACAAGAACTGACATCCTCCTCGATGACCAGAATGCACTGGCATCAGCAAAAAACATACTGGTTGAACAAGTGTTGAGGAGGCAGTAACCATTCAGTGCTACTACAACGTCAGCCTACACTAAGGATACGAGCTTCTTAGACTTCAAAACACCTGACACTCTACCTTAAGACACGGGCCGAAACGCCGGTACCGATCAATCGTCTGATTTACCATATTGTATAAATAAACCGTTTTGTGCTGTTTACAAAATTCCAAAATATGATGTAAGCGTTCCATGACCGTATAAACAGCCAGAACCAGAACTGATATTAATATATAATTAATTTTGCTCATGAAAACGTTGGCTGTTTTTAGGGCAAGTGAGGTTGTGTGATCAAGCAGTAGATGTGCAAAGTTTATGACGTGATTCAATGCCATAAAACAAGTGTATTTGGTAACTGTGACATTCGTTTCGTCTTTCTATGCTCTGATAATATTTCGATTGTGACCGGAACGATTATTTTTTTACCGTTTCGAATGTTGGTTAGCTACTGATTCCGGACACTAATTATGTGGAATTGGGAGATGAGTAATTTCATTGGTGCGGCTGTACAACGATGTAATCATCTAATGAAATATGATATGCGATGGAAATGATAAGATGCAACAGTGTGAACGTTGAAGCATAATGCGTTGCCCTGACACCAGTGTGAACGCGGAAAAGCAGCACAATCGACCATCAGGCACCGCTGGTGCATGAACAGTGAAGTTCAAACTGATGATAATAAGGATGCACACTGCTGGCCTGCTACACGAAGGATTTCATCAGAGGTACATCCTCATCTATCTACCAGAGCACTCATTTTCACGCTTTGCAATGCAATAAAACGTTTTGTACTT